AAAGGTGGCGTATCGTTGTCGTCTTTGTATGAATTTTAATGGTGGTTCATTATTGTGACTGATCCCCATCCTAAAATGCATAGAGTTGAATTCCAATGTTCTCCTTTCTATCCAGTCTCTGTCCATGAAGAAGGCTCATAAATCCTTTGAAGAGGTTGAACCACACTGCCAGTACATTAGTATATTACCTCCAAAAAAGGGATAGAAGTATAATATATTTTCCCCCTGAATTTTAATAAATTTTTCCAATGAAAAAGAGTGAATATTGCCCCAGAAATAGGCATGGGAAAATAAGTACTTTTTCGGCGGCTATTTCGCCCGAAATAGGGCGCTAAATATGCCATCAATTTCATCTGATTTATTAGTAATTTTTCGGCATCAATTTCTTTCATATTTCTTTGGACAGGGGAAATCTATTTCAATGGAAATATGTTAACTATTTCGGCTGCAAAAAGAAACGGGCATTGAGCGGCGGGCCGCCCGGGCCGGTCAAAGGGCTCTTTGGCCCATTCAATGGGCATTCAATGCCCGTTGCTTTTCACGGCCAAAATAGTTAACATATTACAATTGAAATATATTTTCTATTGCCACTCATATTTCTGAGGAAATATCAAAGAGATTACAAAGGAAAAATATACCAAAAAATTACTAATAAATCAGGCGAAATTGATGGCATATTTAGCGCCCTATTTCGGGCGAAATAGCCGCCGAAAAAGTACTTATTTTCCCATGCCTATTTCCGGGGCAATATTCACTCTTTTTCATTGGAAAAATTTGCGAAAATTCAGGGGAAAAATATGTCATACTTCTATCCCTTTTTTGGAGGTAATATACTGAGGTACTGGCAGTGCCATGAGTGGGAATAGTAGTCACGTACATCGGGAGTCTGCATCTCCCACCAATCCCTAGTGTTGCCCAAGAACTGAGATGGGGCCCATTTGCCTAGATCCAGCATCATTTGGTCCGAGAGGTTAGCCATTTCTTGCATCTCAATCAGATATTTGATCATGGTTGAACCTTCACCATCCCATCTGGGGACTATGGATATAGGTAGCTTCCTATTCAGCTGCCACTCATTCTGTGCTAATTGATTTGCTGCGCCTCCTCCTTGGGGGCCACCAGCGCCAGGGGGACCACCAGCGCCAGGAGGACCACCAGCGCCAGGAGGGCCGCCAATACCGGGAGGGCCACCACCCAGGGGACCACCTCTGCTTGGGGGACCGCCGCCACTGGGGGGCCACCACCGCCAGGAGGACCACCACCACCAGGAGGGCTGCCTCTGTGAGGAACACCTCCGCTTGGGGGACCTCCACCAGGGGGAACATTGCCTCCTCTGGGAGGGATGTTTCCGCTCGAGGGACTGTAACCTCCAATACCCATAAATCCAGTATAAGAGTTACCAGGACCTCTGGGCCCCCCGGGGGTCGAAGCTCCTTGCCATGCTGAGGCTTGGTTTGCATAACTGTATACATGATTAGTCCAGGGTACTGTTCTAGGAATCCGTCTGGACACTGAGGTATGAGGAGGGGCGTCTCTCTGTGTAGGAGGGGCCAGATCTGATATATGGCCTAGACCAGGAAGACGTTGTACTACTTCTCTTGAAGGAGCTGCCAAGATCGAGACAGGTATGTCCACAAATCTCACTGAAGGAATAGGTTGAGAGTGACTGGCCTGAGAGGAGTCCATGAACCAGGAGAAGGGATCGGAGCCCAATTGAAACACGTGTGTCACGGATTCTGTAGTCATTCTCTCCGAGTGTCTCCATCTGTGTCTTAAGAAATGGGAAGGATGATAATGAGGAGTCGGAATAGCTTGACCTTGCAATACGTTGGCACTAAATTCGGCTCCCCCAGGAATAAGACAAGTGTAAAGAGGTCTAGCAAGTAGTTTTCCCAGTTCAATGTGTGCTGATTCTGTCCCAAAACAATCTCAAATTTCTGGGATGGTCGACACGAGAGAGCTACCCATTGAAGATTTGTCATCCGGAGGTTCTGCACCCATTTGCCTACGAATATTCTGTATGTATTTCATGATGTGAAGACGAGTGGCATCCGCTCTCAATTGAAGGGTTTGTAACATCATGAACACAATATCTGGGTTGTTGTATGCCTCCAGAATCCTGGTTAGCTTGAACGATGGGTCGAACCTAAAATGAGATCCTGGTTCAGCTGGAACCAGCACGGCCAACGAATCGCAGATCTGATTCAAGGCTAGAGACATATGGGTGATTGGGGTGAGTTCCCTCACTCCCAAGGTCCATAGGTTGGAGGCAAATCCTTCATCATTGTTTCTTAGTGAAGAAATCTCATTGGCCGAGAACTCACGTTGAATGAATTCCCAAGTGAAGTCCTTCGCCGTCAATTCACCCCTGAATAGAACCTCAGGTCCTGGGGTTGTTTCCCAATGAATGATGATAGATCTAAAGAGGGACATCTCGTCTGGATCCATTGTCAGCATCGTATCCCCTTCAATTCTGTACCCTGTCAGAGGGTCGTATTCAAAATCCGAATCATGGTAGTACTTGTTAAGAGAGATTGGGAGTTGTTCATCGTGAATCTGAATAAGGAAGTCAAATAACGTGAAAACAGCAGGGTGAGGGTCGGAGGGGTTGATGCCAACGTTAGTGTGAACCTGCATAACCCGACGTTCTATTTCTTCTCCTCCATTGTCCGAAGAGCTATGAGTGAGTTCTGAGAGTGGGGATAGTCCTGACACTTCTCTCGAGTCTGAAAGACTACGATTACCGGGCATCGGAGTGGCTGGGGAGTCTCTACCTGTGCGTCTTATAGTATTACTAGAGGAAGGAGATTCACCGTTGACTCCTTCCTGGACGTGCTGTTCAAAAGCACTGTTTCCTGGGGTAGAGTGACTAGGGACATGCTGTCACTGCCAGTACATCAGTATATTACCTCCGAAAAAGGGATAGAAGTATAATATATTTTTCCCCTGAATTTTAACAAATTTTTCCAGTGAAAAAGATTGAATATTGCCCCGGAAATAGGCATGGGAAAATAAGTACTTTTTCGGCGGCTATTTCGCCCAAAATAGGGCGCTAAATATGCCATCAATTTCATCTGATTTATTAGTAATTTTTCGGCATCAATTTCATTCATATTTCTTTAGACAAAGAAAATCTATTTCAATGGAAATATGTTAACTATTTCGGCTGCGAAAAGAAACGCGCATTGAGCGGCGGGCCTCCCGGGCCGGAAAAAGTGCTCTTTGGCCCATTCAACGTGCATTCAATGCCCGTTGCTTTTCACGGCCGAAATAGTTAACATATTACAATTGAAATATATTTTCTATTGCCACTCATATTTCTGAGGAAATATCAAAGAGATTACAAAAGAAAAATATACCAAAAAAATTACTAATAAATCGGCCGAAATTAATGGCATATTTAGCGCCTATTTCGGGCGAAATAGCCGCCGAAAAAGTACTTATTTTCCCATGCCCATTTCCGGGGCAATATTCACTCTTTTTCACTGGAAGAATTTGTTAAAATTCAGGGGAAAAATATATTATACTTCTATCCCTTTTTTGGAGGTAATATACTGAGGTACTGGCAGTGTGTTCAGAAGCACCGTTTCCCGGAGAGGGATGACTTCTGTTGTCATCGCTTCCGACGGTTGCTGGACTCGTAGGTGGTTGTGTCAAACTTGAAGGCATAGTATTCGCTGGAGGATTAGGTCTTGAAGATGCTCAAGTGACTCTTCTCGGAGCACCAGGGGGTAAGCATTTGTTGCCTGATGTGAAGCTGCGTGTGCCGAGTGAGGGTTACTAGGAGAACCTTGTGCTGACGAAGAGGAGGGAGGTGGACCTCTTCCTATGCCCAAACCAAAGATCGGTTGGTTTGCTCTACCTCTGTTTTCCGACATTAATAGTGATAGCTGCGTGGGGCTAGTCAACCAAAAACCCGTCTGTATAAAGCTCCTTTGTTGTCATAAGGATATCTGGCCCCGTGCGCTTATCGCACCGTTGAGCGAGAAGGCAAAAGGGTTCATTTCAGGTTTATTGATCGAGTCGTAAGATGAATGAGAGGGGTAAGGAGAGCGAATTGAATGCAGACTGGAGTCCGGAAACCTGGGCTAACACCACTCATGCTCCTTCGAGTAACATAACACCGTGTTTCGGTCTGTTTGATAACACCTTGGTTGATACAATGACCAACTCAATGACCACTTCTTTGCCCTCATCAACTCGACCGAGAGTAGGGCATAACCGTTTCTTTCGGTATCTGTATGAGGCATAATTTGTCACGGGCTGGAAGAGTGTTGTTCGTAGATTCCGAACTTCTTGCACATTGAGATAGTGATGTTCGAGGTAGTAGCGTGTTCAGAAGGAGTTGTGGGTTCTGGTATGTCTCGTTTCCAATAATGATAATTGTGTGCCTTTTTAAAAGCATCTTCTGACTGTTAGTGTGCTGTAAGAGCACCATCCTCTTGGTCGTGTGCTGTAAAAGCACCTTCCGACTATGATAATATAGAGTTTGCGTGCTGTACAGAAGCACCCTTCAAACTCTTCTTCGTAATCTTAGTGGTAGTTGTCTAAGATAGCTGTGAGAATTCCTGTTTGACGTAATGCGGCATGGAATTCCGCGGTACCCCCACCACTGTGAAGCGGTCGTAGAAATATAGATAATCCCGTAGGCTGTAGTCGAGAGAATGTCCCGTAAGATATACAGAGACTACTGTTAAGACATAGAGTGACTTGTATCCCTAGCTGAGGGTCGAGTGACCCGTCGAAGGGCACCTGTATCCCTGGAGAAGGGTCGAGTGACCCATCAAAAGGGCGCCTGTATCCCTGGAGGAGGGTCGAGTGTCCCATCGAAAGGGAGTTCTCGTGTCTTGATAAAGACCGCGAGACTAACGGTCAGCGAGAGAAAGAGTCCAAACAGATGGTTTATTATTAAGGTAAAGAGTCCTTTAGTGCTCGGCGCTATTACTGTATTGCTTGCTTATTTACATGTATTGTGTCTATAGTCCAAGATATCGTACTCCGTCACACTTAGCTCAGTGGTAGAGTGTTGCAGGATAATAAAGGACGGCGAAAGTTAATACAATGCATTCAATGCAAAGGTCAGCCGTTCAATTCGGCTAGGAGGCATAGGGGAACTTTCAGAATCATAGTTAATTTTTCCCATTTGAATCTATCGCTCCTGTACAGAAGTTGTTAGACGCTGATCATGATGACGAGGTGCCTTAGGTATCATGCTATCTTTGCATCTTATCTTTCGAAAGGATTTATGTTCAACATCTGGAGCTTCACCACCATCTTCCGGGGCTTCCAAACTCGCCCTGCATCCTCCATCTGTGTTGACGACCTTGTACCTCGGCATGGTCACTCACGACGCCCCTAGCACCCTAGAGTGTCTCCACTCCCTTATTGACACCTCTTCCCACACCTCAAATCCTTCCATCTCGCAGACCGGGAGATTCGACTGGGATGCCCTCCTCTGCGAAATGACACCCCACGAAGCACGCTCCCTCGGTACTAGCTCTGTTCTCGAAACTCGCAGAGCTGATGTTGAAGTCCCCCACCCGCCATGGCTTGTGCGCGATGGTGCATTGCACGGCGTACATTGCGATGAGTCATGGTAGTAATGGAACTAATGGTAATAACTTATGAGGGTAGTAATGATAATCATACTATCATAGATTGTTATACAATGCAATGGCCAGTCGTTCAATCCAGCCAGGAGGAATGGAATGAACGCCACAAAAACCAATAGGTAGGCCACCCAACCATATAATTTGGTTGTCAAATTTCAGCTGCAGTTACAGTTCTCGATCCTTATGAGTGTTACATGCATGTTCAACTTTCTTCCAGGTTTTTTTGATCATATTCAGCTTCACGGTAATTTTTCCATTTTGGATTCATCCAAGAATCATCGGTAAGCAAGCTCTACACGTTCCATCTCTAAACCAATTCGCGGGTAACGAGCAGCTAATAATGAGTACTTGGTTCTAGGAACATAATTATGGGCCAGAACTCTTACTACGCCCATTCTCAGGTAACATTGATTATGCCCAATCCGAAATTGTTCCCAGTGAGCGTCCTGAATGCAGCAGAACTGAGCCCTATACCCACTGGACTTTCTGCAAATAGATCCATATCCTCCACTATGACTTGAATGGTGCGACCCTTGTCTAGTAACATTATGACCACAAGCCAAAAAAAAAACACAAAAACTTGACAACGTACAAGTTACACTCATTAACTGCCCGCAAACGGGGTTGTCTTGAGGACTGTCTTTGGTGCTGTCATATCCACTAGTACACCACAGATCTGTGTGAGGATTTCTTGGCAGCCGAGCGGCGAAGACTACTCAGGGAACACTGTTAAATAACATTTCGTTCACATAGCCCACAAATTCTGAGTTGTTTTCGATCTCAGTACCACAAATCCCCACGCCATCTGGAATATAAGAGCTCTGTTAGATTGTGGACTCCATTGAAGCTACCATAATACCTGCAGCCTCCCAGAGAGCTAAGAGATTAGTGAAAGGCAGTGAGGATATAATAGCGGCGTATCAGACCACAGTGACATACCTTGCCCACTATTTGTTCCATTAAAAAAACCCGGGGGCACATCCAAGGAAGAGGCCAGCGCGCGATCATCACTGAGGGGCGTGGATGCCGCGAGAGCTTTACCAGAGATCAGGGTGGTGAGAATGATACCAGCGAACTTAACTACAGCAAGCAACATGGCTGTGGGTCTAGTCAAAGACACAAAACCGCATGTTATATACCATGAAACATGAAAGCAGGTTGCGGACTCAGAGGATGGTTGCCGGAAGCCCTTGTACAATTTTGATAGAGATCTTGAAATTGCCGAACAATTCAGGAGGGGAAGTTTGAAATTCCTGTGGAAGCAGGGAATTTGAGGAATCGGGGTAGGTAAGCAAAGCGACAGTTAATAATAAAAATTGTATACCTTCAGGCAACTGGAAGTGTTTTCCTTGGTGCCAGGTGAAACATATACACATCCATTGATATTCTTCATCTTTGCGTCTAACCCGAGAACTGGACCTAGACAGGTTCCTAGATCATATTGCGCTTGTCTACGGCGACTATGGATCGTGAATGGCCGTTACTACCATGACAAGAAATCTAAAAAATCAAAGATATCAGAGAAATACCCCTTGCAGATCTAGATAAACTACCGAATCGAATTCATACTAGGCGTAAGCCAGCGGAGTAACTCGTGCCCACCGTTTCCCGAAGCCGTGGCAGCAACTTCTTGACAACACTCAGAAGACCTAAGTATACAAGCGGTAGACACAGTGTACAATTAGTTGGACAAAAGCAAGACAAAAGTCATACTGTATAATAGTATAAGGCTGAACAAGTGCTTGAAACCCAAGTGGAGGAATAGGGAATATTAGTAGTTAGATTAACGACTTATTTTTTTCACATTAAGGTTACGCATACCAATGTCCAAGCCTTGGTCCAAGAATGAATTTTCAATGTGGGGGCTCGGTCCTCAGATGCCCATATATGCCCTGGCCGATCCTTGAACAAATTACCTACCTGCCATATTGTCCGGTTCTTGGTTCAATTTAGTGGAGCACTGGGAAGTGGTAGAATGGTTGGTGGCATACACAAGGGCATACAAGGTGGCATCAACATTGCCTATGACATCAAATAAGAAAATGATTGAAAGAGTGGTATCATATGTAAGTGGAATATGTTATGACTCAATCAATAGTCTCGTCCAAACCTTCACAGTACGTAACTTGGCAGTAAAAATGATAAGAGAAATTAATGAGATTATAGAGCAAGCCTTTCCGTTCGTTGAAACCGCTAGGCAAAAATATATACTCAAACAACTAGGCTCAAGTAAAGTTAGTAACTAGTTTGTAATACAAAACTCACAGAACTTATTATTTGGAGATAGCTCGACAAATAATAATAATAAGATTACCCTCGGAGATAGCTCAACAAGCAGTAATATGAATCAGAACTAGTACTCGGAGATGGCTCAACAAGTAGTAGTGAGTGTGGTGTCTAGTACTCGGAGATAGCTCAACAAGTAATAGTGAGTGTGGTGTCTAGTACTCGGAGATAGCTCAACAAGTAATAGTGAGTGTGATGTCTAATACTTGGAGATAGCTCAACAAGTAATAGGAAGTTGCAACTCGGAGATAGCTCAACAAGTGGCAATTAAAGAAGTATTCACTAGGAGATAGCTCAACAGGTGAATGTTAGTGGATACAACTTGGAGTTAGCTCAACAAGATGTATAAATGTGTATTGTAACTTGGAGATAGCTCAACAATATACAATGAGTTGGTCTGGTGATTCACACAAGTGATAACAGCAAACAAGTGGGGGTTTGGATTTAAGAAAAATAATACGTCTACTGTACATTGGTAAATCTAGACTACTTATATACTGTGCAATGTGTACTAGTTAGGAAATGCTGCGGAATGACTAGATTTGAGTCATAACTGCGGAAATACTGCGGATGAGTCAGTCTGACTATGTAATGCTGTGCAATGACTAATATTGAGTCATGTATGCGGAACCGTAGTTGACTCAGATATCTGGCTGTGCAATGACTGATATTGAGTCATTGATGTAAAGAGGCTATGCAATGATGTCATAGCTGTGGAGCAGTGATGTCATAGCTGTGGAGCAGTGATGTGATATCATAACTGCGGAGCAATGGAATGACATCATGATTGTGGAGTAGCAAGATGACATCATAGTTGTGGAGCTAGAACAATGTCATGACTGTGCAGACTGTGCAGTGACTGTTAATGGTGTTCTGGAAGAATGTGTGCAGCATTAACCCAAATGGTGTTGAATAACTAATGAATGTAAAATGTTAAGTAGAAGTATTAATGATAGTGTTCATAGTTGGTTACAGAAGAAAAAAGATTGGGTGTATAGGATTTAGATCCGGGTCATAACAGAATAATACATCAATAAGTAGTAAATATGAATAACAGAGCCGCACCAGCCACTAGTAAGCACAGCTAGCACCACCACAATGAGGGCCAACAAAATGTTAATGAAACCTCAGAATAAGCATTTGAGATCACACCAGGTTTGGTTCTCTATAGCATCTTTCCCAATTAGGACCATGTACAAAATTGCGCAAATCTAATGTGGTTAGTTCTGCATTTGATATCACTAACAGCAAGGGGGACAAAATAAGTGTCTCCCGATGGTCAAGAGGTATCCAAAGCAGTAATGAGGAATCTGAGCCACAAAGCCAGCCATCACTGGTAATGTGGAAACCCGAAAAGGGGAGCTGTGAATATGGAATTTCATGATGAGGATGAGTGCAAAAAGAAATCCTGGATGGGGCAGGGCTCAAGGGCAGTAGTGATGAGCCCAAAGAAATGTTCCTGATGTCTGATGCAGGAGAGACAGCAGACTGAATATAGCTTATATCTTCTGCCAAGGGCTGTGAGACTGCGTCACTGATGGCATCCCAGACCCGCACTGACAAATCATCGGAGCCAGACACAATCCTCCTACCATCTGGGGAATATGCAATAGACATGACCCGAGTAGTGTGCACCAATGGCTTTCCCACTGCTTTCCCACTCTTTGAATCCCAGAGCCGCACTGAGTTGTCATAAGAGCCAGACACAATCCTCCTGCCATCTGGGGAGAATTCAACTGAACTAATGAGATCAGTGTGCCCAGACAAAATTTTGAGTCTCTTTCCACTCTTTGCATCCCAGATCTGCACTGACTTGCCACTAGATCCAGACACAATTTTCCTGCCATTTGGGGAAAATGCAACTGATGTAACCCAGCTAGTGTGTCCTACAAAGGGATTTCCTAATGCATTTCCACTCTCTGAATCCCAGAGCCGCACTGACTGATCACAAGAGCCAGACACAATCCTACTGCCATCTAGGGAGAATGCAACTGATGTAACCCAGCCAGTGTGTCCTACAAGGGGTTTTCCCAATGTTTTTCCACTTGCTGAATTCCAGAGCCTCACTGACTTGTCATCAGAGCCGGACACAATCCTCCTACCATCTGGAGAGAATGCAACTGATGTCACACGAGCAGTGTGTCCCTCCAATGGCTTACCCACTATTTTCCCACTCTCTGCATACCACACCCGCGCTGAACAGTCACT